CATATAAATTTTTAAAGGCAAAAATATACTTTAAAGTAGAATCTGACGGGACCTTAATCTTACAGTAACAAACTTTCATGGAATGTCTTAAGGATAAATTATAATCAAAATAATTTTTTTTAAGTCACATGTATTATTATGTATTATATATTAGTTTAATCAAATCAAAATAATTCATAAAAATCCATTTTTAAACAATTTAATCATTTATTCCATTTTTGACATCTGATAATCATACAATCTAAGTAAATTTCTTTCAAGCATTGCTATCGTAACTTTACCAATCGTCGGAACATAAATGCTGGCTTTTTCTTTAACATTATCTTCAAAATTTTTGTATGCTGAAAAATTTATTGCAATTACTCCGTCTCGTAATAAGGATGTTGGAATTTTGTATGATTGTGATGGAACACCTGTTATTACAACATCGGATATTGGAATCACATCTTCAAGTTTGAAATTCGTCTCGATAACCTTTATTAGATATATAAATGTAAATATAAAATAAATGTATGTGTATACCGTTGGACACCGCATACAGTACCCGGAGTCTTATTCAAGAACTTTAATTAAATAGTACTCACGGGTACTGCATGAGAATCGGAGGATATATCATATGAAAAAAGTAATAAATTAATACAGTGTTATACCCCCCGGGTATTATTCATGAATTAAGCCAGGTGGGCGGTGAATAATACCGGGTCTCGATTAGAGGGGTAATATTTTTGGAATATCGTATGCAATGACGAACAGTATATATTTGATTGTTTACTAATGTAAAAAAGGCAAACAAGCAAGTTTATTAATAGGAAATTATTTACCTCATGCTTTTTAAGTCTTAATCCAGTACCACGATTAAATTCTTGAACACCATTAATATCAATAGAATAAACCTTTCCACCATCATTGGCCAATAAAGCAGCAAGAGGACGTCCAACGATTTCACTTCTATTTACTACGGTAATCACACGACCATGCAAACGATTCCCATATGTGATAATTGGATTGTATACACCAACATATTCCAATACCTACGTTATCAATAAAATTATTAATGCCTAAAATTATTAACAAGACAGTTATATACTCTTACCTTGATTATAGCTAAAGGTGTGCAAGGGATGATACATTTTTTGGTTTGTTCCTTGTCAAGAAATCGAATGTTGTGATACATGTTATATACATATTTGTGA